AAGAGAGAGAATGAGAATTTAATTCTTTGAACCAACAAGATACATTAATATAATTAAGGAGAAAACAAGAAAATTCAGGGAACAGAGAAATTAGGGAGGAGAGAGCAGACAGAATTCCTCCACTCCCTACACCACAGACACGACAATATGCACATTTCATATGGTCTCCATCAAGCTATTTCCCCTGTGGTGGTCTGAATAGGTATGGCCCTCACAGACTCATGTGTTTGAATGCTTGGCCACAGGGAGTGGCACTATTAGGTGTGGCCTTGTTGGAGGAAGTGTGTCACTGTGGTGGCTGGCTTTGAGGTCATCTGTGTTCAAGCTGGGCCTTGTGGATCACAGAACTCTCAGCTCTTGCTGTAGCACCACGTCTGGCTGCATGCTGGCATGTCTCACGCCGGTGATAATGGACTGAACCTCTGAAACTGTAAGCCACCCTAATGAAATGTTCTCCTTTATAAGAGTTGCAGTGGTCAGTGTCTCTTCACAGCAATAAAACCCTAACTAAGACATCCCCTTGAATTGCAAAGTTAATTTTAGCAAGGCAACATGGATGACTGATTATAGCACTTGCTACTCAGTATGACGGCTGTGGCTTAGTGTGCTATTTTATATTCACTTTTTGTTTTGTTTTTTGTTTTTTTGAGACAGAGTTTCTCTTCGTAGCTTTGCGCCTTTCCTGGATCTTGCTCTGTAGACCAGGCTGGCCTCAAACTCACAAAGATCCACCTGCCTCTGCCTCCCGAGTGCTGGGATTAAAGGCGTGCGTTACCACCGCCCAGCTTATATTCACTTTTTAAAATGAGAATCCCTATGAGAAATAAGAACAAGTTAAGCTCAGTGAGAGGGATTTTATTTAAAAAGGTGACAATTAAATAGCTAATAATGTAATTAACCATTTTATATTTTAAATAGGCCATACCATTCTCATCAACATTTCATTTCAAAGCTTTCCATTCCAATTTTGAATAGCATTAACAAGAGCTAAAAATTACATTTAAAATGCTTTGAAGAATCTTTGATTATTTTATTCATAAGTATTTGAAAATACAAAGCAAAGTAAACTAAAGTGCTGAGGGGATAGGGTTAAAATTTTCGTCCCACAGACCATGCCAAGTTAACTTTAAGAACAGGCTGATCACTAGCCTACAGCCAAAGATGGCAAGCAGTAAAGCATCTACTGCTTCCATTATCCTGTGTGCTGAGAGATATTACTTTCTATTCAATGGAGGTAAAAAACAAAATTTAACTCAATTAATAAAAATGATTTTAAAGGAATGTTAAGTCTGAACTATATACAGCTTATGTTATGACAGCTATTCTTTTTTTTTTTTTTTTTCTCCCCTTCTTTTTTGGAGACAGGGTTTCTCTGTGTAGCTTTGACACCCTTCCTGGAACTTGCTCTGTAGCCCAGGCTGGCCTCGAACTCACAGAGATCCACCTGCCTCTGCCTCCCGAATACTGGGATTAAAGGCATGCGCCACCACCGCCCGTTATGACAGCTATTCTTGTTTGTCAACCTGACAACATCTGGAATTAACTAAAATCTCCAAAATGGAGGGACACATCTGTGAGGTATTTTTGCTTAATTTGAAGTGGGAAGATCCACTTATAATCCAGATCTTTTGAGGTGGGAAGACCCACCTCTACTCTGGGCCACGCCTTCTTCTGGAAGCCTACGTAAGGACATGGGAGAAGGAAGCCTCCTTCTTTGCCTGCTTGCTCTCATCCCAGGAGCAAGTCTACTCCTTCACTGGCATTAGAGCCTATAGATTCATTCTATAAATTCTGTTACTCTAGAGTACCCTGACCAATTCACTGCTTAAAAACAAAATTTACAGCATGAGGATGGAAAAAAGTTAAATGCTTTTAGAGTAACAAAATGGTAATATCAAGCTATTATTGCACCACCTTCAGGAATGTAAAGTTGTGAAAATTTGTTATTGTCCTTCTTTGAAGTGTATTAACTAATAGCTGTGTTATATCAAGTACCAGAAGAAACAGTTTGCAGGCTAGGGTTCAGGCCCTAACCAACAATACCTGGGAGATTCAGATATAAATACTGCACAAAGACAAGGTTACACAATAAAAGCCATGGCCTAAGTCAACAAATAGCATGCACTTCATCATTAATGACCAGCTTTACCTCTTGTGGAAGTTCTAATTTAGACCGGTCAGTTCCTTCTTTTGATTGAAGACCCATCAAATAAGGGACAGGGGCATCAAGAAAATGTAGCAGAGAGGCAGGGAGGATGGGTACATAAACATGCTGCCACTGAAATGGGAACAAGAGTGTGGTAATGCCTTCTGCCACAGTCATCAGACGCTGATAATCTGTACAGAACCAGAGAAACAAAAGGGGAGAATTCAGTGAAAACAAGTGCTGCAGTAGACCTAAAACATCAGGAGAACACCGTGTTAGAACAAACACTCTGGACTGGAGAGCCGGTCACCTGTCCAGCGCACTCACTGTTCTTGCAGAGGACCTGAGTTCAAAGCCCAGCACGCCTATGGTGGCTCACAAACAGCACGAACTCCAGTTCCAGGGGATCTGACCCCCTCTCCTGACCTGAGGCTACCAGACACATGGTGCACATATATGCATGCAAACAAAATAGTCATACACATAAATAAATCTTCAAAAAATTGAAAAATATTTTTTCACGATAATGGAGAAAGTAGGTCAGTTCTAGCTCATCATAGAGTTAAATTATTTCCCTGAATAACCTGCAGAAAGTATGGGACACCATCACCACTCTTGCAACCAGTGGCAGGTGAGTAATCTGCATCCTCTCCCTCTTCTCCTCACCTGCCTCTCTCTCCAGGGTCTTCCTATACAGACCAGAATTCAGAGATCAGCTTGTCTCTGCTCTGCATTTCCAGTGCTGTGATCAAACACATGTGCCATTATGCACACACAGCCCTGAATTCTCTCTAAATGTGGAGGAATCAAAAACTAATAAACTGTTCTTGCTATCTAGCCTTCTAAAAAGGTACAATACTGTTGCTATGAATCACTTTCATGTATGCATATACCCATGTATCTCCAATTCAGAAGCTAATTTTTCTTTTCTTGTATAGATGATCATGGCTACATCTTTGATAATCTGATTATTTTAGCACTTATTTTGTAGGTATAAAAAGAAATCAGAGCTAGATGGTGGTGGTACATGCCTTTAATCTCAGCACTCGGGAGGCAGAGGCAGGTGAATCTCTGTGAGTTCCAGGCCAGCCTGGTCTACAGAGTGAGTTCCAGGACAGCTAGGACTACACAGAGACACTGTGTTTCAAAAAAACAGACAAACAAACAAAGCTGTGTTTATTAGTAATTGTAGAGAAGGAGTATGCATACTCTTCAGGAACTGTGGAACATCTTAGTGAAGAAAGACCATTATAGTATTTGGGACTTTGTAGGATAATTTGGGGCTTTCAGAAAACAGAGACTTGCTTTGGATAGGAAGCTGTCAGAAATGAAGGAACTCTGTGACCAGGTAGGTATCTTGTCTCGGGGTATTTGAGCAACCTGTGTGAAGATGTGCTGCTGTTTAACCTTGCCTGCCTAATGCATCTGATTGGTTTAATAAAAAGCTGAATGGCTAACAGCTAGGGAGGAGAGGTTAGTCAGGACTTCCAAGGCACAGAGAGGAGCTCAGGGTTAGAATCTGGCACAGCAGGAGATGCTAGCGAGATATGGGTGGAGTCAGACATACAGAATGGAGAAGAGGTAAAAAGCCAAGCCATATGGCAGAAAGTAGATTAATAGAAGCAGGTTAATTTAAGTTATAAGAGCTAGCTGTAAATAAGCCTAAACTAAAGGCCAAGATTTCATAAATAATAATAAGTCTATGTCATTATTTGGGGGCTGGCAGTCCAAAGAAAGCCTGACAAGAAAACCAAATTACAGTATCTTAATAAATTTGATCTATAGTGAGTATAAATCTGTAATTGGGATTAGGAATGTAGGCTGGAGGTTGAGCATTTGCCTGGTGTGCATCAGAGAACCCCTGTTCTCTCTCTCTCTCTGTGTGTGTGTGTGTGTGTGTGTGTGTGTGTGTGTTTGTTTTATGGATCACACAATAAAACTGTTTGCTATTCTCTTGTGGTTGCTTATCCTACAGAAAAGCATAGCTTAGATGTGAGCAGATTAATAAATAGAAACAGCAAGGGCTATCAGTTCTAAGACATCAGTGTCTGATTTTATATTTCTTTCTCCATCATATGCTAGATAATGTGAAAGGTAACTTGGAGTTTTAAGCCAATTATGTGCCAATTATTCATTAAATAGTCTCTCAATTACAAATTCATCCAGCTGTAATTGGTTGACCTCTTAACCATTTTGACAATGAATATAATACTAAGCTTTGCCAGTAGGGGGCAATGGAGACACACTGCAGGGGGAAAGGGTTTTTTGTTTGTTTCCTGGTCCCAGTGTGCAATCTGTCTTGCTGCCTGGAGGACCAGCAGTGTGGGTATGTGAAGACATCTGGTGGCACACTGCCATGCCATATGCCGAGAATGAGCAGTCAGTGGATACCTCTTCCTATGGTCCTCGAATACACTATATATGCAGACCTCATATCGCAGTGATATCCAACAAATCCTCTGGGTCTGTTTACTAGTCACAGACAACATGGGCCCTGGGCTTTGTCTTGTTAGATCAGTGACCAAGGATCAGCTCTTGTCCAGGCAACATACTGACAAGTAATCTACTGGTCTTCTCCACACCTTATGAACAGAATTTCTTCAAGAGGTATCCACTACAGCTTTGGGGTATGAGGTTTCCACATTTAAATGTTTGTGCTTTATTGAGTATGCTTCAGAGTTTATCCCTTTATAGTTTAGTTTCTAATACAGCTTAATAATAATTCATATACAGTCCTCTGCCTAAATTACTTCACGGTTTCTGTCTCATGGTTGAACTAAACTGAAAGGCAAAGGGATTTGAACAAACTAAATTCCTAGCAAGTTGGCTAGTTTATTTGTGATTGAAGAAACATGCAGCCTCCTGGAAAATACACTTTCTTCAAGTAATGACAGTTTGTACTGTGGGTTATTTTCTTGCTTTATTTATAGAAAAAAACACCATAAGAAGTAAAAATAAATTACACATTTCTCTCTTTTCTCCTGGACTTGAAGAGACACTGTTCATTTCCCTTTACTACCATCTCCCACTTTTAAATATTCTGTGTCTAATCTTTTTAGTTTTGAATTCTCTTCAAGATTGGTTGATATGTCAAACACTTTTCGGCAATGAGATACTTGGCAGAAACAGATCATTCCTTTTAACTGAGTCAAGAAATAAAAAGCAGTAGTGGCCTCTGTGATCAATCACTAGCATAGCAAAAAGAAAAAATAAATATAATTTTTCTTTAAGCATTTCTGCGTGTGCACATGTATATATGTGTGAGAGAGGGTCTCTCATCGGTATTCACCCATTTGGCTACACTGCCTGGCCACTGGCCTCCAGAGACCTGTTTTCACTACTCCTTTCCTCAGAGCTCAAGCTGCAGGTGTGCACCACGGCACCTGGTCTTTACATAAGTGATAGGGATTTCAACCCAGGGACTCAGGCTCACCTGGCAAGCACTTCACTGACTGAGCCATCTTCCCATCCAGTGCTGTCTTAGTCAGTGTTCTATTATGAAGATCTCAAAAGGCCCCAGGGACATGCTTCCTTCAACAAGGAACTAATCCTTTCAGATAGTGCCACTCCCTAAGCATTTAAACATATGAACCTATGGGAGCCATTCTTATTCAAACTACCACAAGCATATTTTTTCTTTACTCATTTATTGTTTGTTTGTTTGTTTGTTTGTTTTTGAGATAGGGTTTCTCTTGTTAGCCCTGGCTGTCTGGGAATTCACTTTGTAGACCAGGCTGGCCTCAAACTCAGAGCTATACCTGCCTCTGCTCTCTAAGTGCTGGGATTTCCTATTTCTTTTACAACATTAATTATTCATCTTGTTAAAACTATGATAATTCTATTATAATTATCCATATGCCTCTGTTCCCTAATTTACTATCTTTGTATACCTGTCTCTTTCTTTGCACAAACACATACTTTTTAAAATTACACTTTCAGCTGGGCGGTGGTGGCGCACACCTTTAATTCCAGTACTTAGGAGGCAGAGGCACGTGGATCTCTGGGAGTTCAAGGCCAGCCTGGGCTACAAAGTGAGTTCCAGGAAAGGCTCCAAAGCTACACAGATAAGCCCTGTCTCAAAAAACAAGAACAAAAACAAACAAAAAAAATTACACTTTCATTTAGTAGAAGGTACAAGATACGCGTGTGCCACATGTGGAGGCTAGAAAACGACCCGAGAGAGTCATTTTCTTCTGGCTACCATGTGGTCCAGGGATTCAACTTAAATCAGACTTCATGAAAAGCAAATTTAACTGCTGAGCCATCTCCTGCATCCCTTTTTCTTCTAAAGAGATGCCTTGCTATGTTTCCCAGACTGGTCCTATATTCAAGTGATCCCCTTTGCCTCAACTTTCTGAGTAGCAGAGTCTACCATCATGTCCAACAAATGTTTATATTTAAAATAAAACAAAAACAAAACCAAAGAGAAACTTCCAGACAAACACACACATACATAAAACCCCAAAACTAACTCCCAAGAAAATCCCCAAAACTGGGCTGGCTGAGCCATCTCACTAGCTCCAAGTGATGACTATATTTTTATTTTATTTTATTTTGAGACAGAGTCTTACTATGTAGCCCTGGCTGATCTGGAAAACACTATTTAGACCAAGTTGGCCTCAACTCACAGAGATCTGCCTGTCAGCCGGCCAATATTTAAAGGCTTATACTACCACACAAAGCAGAATTTTCAGAATGGAATCCAGGGTCTAATACATTGTGATTGGCCAATAAATGTGTTGAGAAATTAATATATTAACATCTAAGGAATGTAAAATAAAATACAACTTTGGATATTGACAAAATTATTCTTGGCTATGTTTCATAGTAAAACACACTTTCAAAAATTTGCCTAGACTATCCACCAGGCTCCAATGGATACACCCCTGGTCATGCAGATGACCCTGCTTAAACTTGGTGAGTCACCAAACAAAAGTGCATGAACATGGGAAAGACCTTGTAGGAATGGGAAGGTGTAAGAGAGGATGGGAAAGATGAAAGATGAGAATAACCAGAATGCATTACAGAGTCGACAAGGTGTAGCTCAGGGGTATAAAAGTGCTTGCTGCACATGCCTGATGACCTGAGTTCAATTCTTAGGACCAGTGGAAAGAGACAGCTGGCTCTGAAAACTATCCTCTGACCTCTACACCTACCATCTACATTTCCTCTAACAATAAACAAACAAAAA